TTTTAACGTATTGGAAGTAGATTAGAACCATGTGCATGTTTGATAGAGTGTAGATGATGTTGTAAGGTGGTATGTGTGGAGAGAATGTATCAAGGTTCCTCTCCACATGCATTGTGAATCATGTTGAATCAGGACTGTGTACTGCCTTGACTGAAGTTTAGGTTAGGAACTCGAAAGGGTATTAAAAAAATCAAAGATCTAGACAAATGTACATTTATTGGACAGATGGTGAGGAAATGGTGATGATATTTTGTACAGTGGGTACAAAATGTTGGTTTGGGTCGAGTGATGGTTTTTTGCTTGTATATTTGAGCTAGATGGCTCCCTCGTGTTCAGGTGGAGTGCTACATAGAAGACAGAAGAAAGAGGGTAGTCTTGGAGGTAGAATTTGTATAAAGCTAAAGATGGTGTTTAGGAATTTTGCTGTCTGGGTCTTTCGTTGTGTGTCTTTCTTTGTCATAAACTGAATGGGTTTTGAGACATAAGTCTTTCATTGTGTGTCTTTCTTTGTCATAAACTGAATGGGTTTTGAGACATAAGTTTGTGGGGTAAGCCATGGATTACAGTTTAAGAGAGATACAGGTCTGTGAGGGTTTTGCAGGTTTATGGAGATGTAAGGAAGAGTGAAGAAATGGCACCCCTAGCTCTGATTGATCCTTCAATTGTGAAATATATTGTAAGTATCAAGGTATAAGGAGATTATAACATGTTTTTATCTGTATTGTATCGTTTTTATTGTTCGTTTTCTTTTTTGTTTATTAACATAAAGAATAGCCTGATTGCTGAAAAGAATTAGGAGATTCAAAACAAAAATATAACAACAAAACATTCCTTATATTACAGAAAGAAGAAAGTTGAAATACATAACCCTTCTTTGCATCCTGGTCATACACACTGTGATCATTACATAGAGCCTGTCTTGTACATTGTCTAGAAATTGGAAATATGCGTATCTCCATATCTTCTTAAACATTAAAGGACCACAAACTCCCCAAAATCCCACAATAAATCCAAGCGCAAGGGAAATATAAAACCATGGGATTTCATGCCCATTGTCCACATCTTGATTACTATTGTTTAAGTGCTTAATCTAATACCTAAGGGCTGTTCTGCATCACTTTCTTTGTCATAAACTGAATGGGTTTTGAGACATAAGTTTGGGGGGTAAGCCATGGATTACAGTTAGGAGAGATACAAGTCTCTGAGGGTTTCGCAGGTTTATGGAGATGTAAGGAAGAGTGAAGAAATGGCACCCCTAGCTCTGATTGATCCTTCATTTGTGAAATATATTGTAAGTATCAAGGTATAAGGAGATTATAACATGTTTTTATCTGTATCTTACCGTTTTTATTGTTCTTTTTATTTTTTGTTTATTAACATAAAGAATAGCCTGATTGCTGAAAAGAATTAGGAGATTCAATACACAAATATAACAACAAAACATTCCTTATATTACAGAAAGAAGAAGGCTGAAATACATAAAGGATAAAGTACAATCTAGATCCTAACCCTTCTTTGCATCCTGGTCACACATACTGTGATGATTACATAGAGCCTGTCTTGTACATTGTCTAGAAATTGGAAATATGCATATCTCCATATCTTCTTAAACATTAAAGGACCATAAAATCCCCAAAATCCCACAATGAATCCAAGCGCAAGGGAAATATAAAACCATGGGATTTCATGCCCATTGTCCACATCTTGATTATTCTTATTACCTGCATCAATCCCATTAGTTCCCAGGCATTCATTTGGGAGGTGGGCACCACAAAGTTTCTGGTTCCCCTCAAATGCAGAGGCATTGAAGCCTTGGAGCTGAGTACTTGTTGGTATTGGTCCTTCAAGATTATTGTAGGAGACATTGAAAAATGACAAGAAATTAAGACTCCTCAATGATGTTGGGATTTTTCCAGACAAATGATTCACGGAGAGATCCAACGTATCCATATTTTTGAGATTGGATATTTGGTCTGGAATTTCACCGGAGAAGTTGTTGCTGAGATCCAACGCATGAAGAAGCTGCAGTCCACCAATCTCAACAGGTATGCTGCCACTGATGCTATTGTTGTGTAGGTATATCGATGGCGGCAAGAAAGACAAATAGGTGTATTGTAAAGCTTGAGCACCATCAGGTTGGATGAAGATAGGCAGTTCAAGAAAATTATGGTCTACTTGAGCTGCAGCTTGTTCAGATACCAACATGGGAAGTTTGCATAGCTCCTTTGGAAATTCACCAGAAATTAGGTTGGAGTCAAAGTTTATATAAAAGAGCCTTGGAAGAGTTCCCAACCAACTAGGGATTGAGCCTGTGATTCTATTAAAAGGCATGTCCAAGATCTCTAGCTTTTTGAGCTTATATAACCACATAGGTATTTGACCAGTGAGATCATAATCACCCAAAGCTAAAATTCGAAGATTTTCGAATCCGTCGAAACCAACCATGTCTTCATCAGTGGGCATTTCCTCACCTACAAAACTATACGGAAGAAGGAGGGTCGCAAGACTCTTGGAACCCATTAATATCTTCATTGCCCCTGTGACATTGGTCAGTTCATTGGCACCAAGCGAAAGGTAGGACAAGGATTTTAATGAACGAATCTTAGGTTGTATTTGCCCCTCTAGATAGTTGGAGCTTAGCCTAATTGCTTTCAGGGACTTGCTTGAGTAAAGGCTTATTGGCAAGTGACCATTGAAGGAATTACTTCCTAGGTCAAGTTTACTAAGTTGACTAAGTTTGGAGAAATTTAGGGTGGAGATTTCTCCTTCGAAGTTGTTGAAACCCAGATTCAGTTCTATAAGGCTTGTGCAGTTCATCAAAGATGGGGGCAGAGAACCTTCTAGATTGTTGAAATGAAGGAGCATGAGTTTTAGTGTGGAGAGTTTCCCAGTATTTTTAGGTAGCTTGCCAATCAAGTTATTATGGTAGAGGTCGAGGACTGCAAGGTTGGTGAAATTGACAATTCTATCGCTAACGGGTCCGTTAAGCGAATTCATCGGTAAAGCTATTTCTTGAAGTGTTGTTGCATTATAGATATCATTCGGAAGTTCTCCAGAGAGATTATTGTAACCAGCACGAAAAACCAGTAGTTTGGAACATTCCTCTAGTCCGGGAGAAATTTTGCCACTAAATTTATTCAAGGAAAAATCTAGTACCCTAATGAAGGGGGAAGAATGAAGACAAATAGAGGACGGGATAAATCCGATGAAGGTATTGTTGCTGACATTGAAACTAGTCAAGTTCCAAGCATGTTGGAAGAACGAAGATGGGATTGCACTGTGGAAGCGATTGCTGGACAAATCCACGACATGGATATTACTACTGGATGGTAGAGAATATGGAAGCTCTCCGGAAAGAAGGTTATAGCTCAAATCAAGGATTTCAAGGCGATTCAATGACAAGAGGAATCCGATTTCAAGTGAACCATAAAGTGAGTTGTGTGAGAGATTGAGGTGGGTGAGATGTGTGAGAGAACCAAGGGAAAAGGGAAACTCACCTCCTTTGAGCCCTTTGGAGGGTAAGAGCAATTGGGTTACCCAGCCATCTTTACAAGTGATGCCTTCCCAAGAGCAACAATTATCAGAATTCCAATTTAAAGTAGGAGAAGACAGATTGAGAGCCAAGGACAGGAGAGAGCTGCGTTCAGTTTGGTTGCATGCATGATTCGTAGATATGGTGCTAGAGAATACTAGAATTAAAAAGAAGCAAAATTGCTTTGAGTGATGAAGCTCAACTAGCATGCTTGTTCTTTGTGGAACTGCCATATTCGTTATAGATTGCTTAGAGGCTTGTATACATACATATATATATATATATATACACGCACATTAATGTGATGACCAAACTACCAAGAAACAACATAAGAAAAGAAAAATGATATCGTGTCAAACTCCTGGGTGCCATAGAGGATAAATAAAGATGTCTACCTCCACAATCTACTGGAAATGTTGACATAAAATCTTAATTAATTGAGTAAATTTCTTGGCAGGTAAACCCTATAATGTATAAATTGCAAGCCTTTCCACTTCCCAAATGCCACTAGAACATGGTTACCAGAGAAGTTCTCGGATAATTTTCCTGTGATATATGCATATATGTATAGATTATGCTTTCGCATGTCAAAAATTCAAAGTCTTGCAAAAACTTCGAAGTGTTATTTGATTCTTTAATGTTTGAGTTTTTGACTGGAAATGGTGGCGAGAGCAACATAACAAGGACATTAGTGATTAATTAGGACTACATGAAAAGGACTGGACATCAGCCCTTGAATGCCTTCTTTTCATCGTATGTGGTCCCTACGTACTTTAGTTTTCATGCCATCTTTAATGGCATATTCTTACGTACAGTTTAACGGCATAATCTCTATGTGCAGAGACTCGGGATCCCATTTGGATAATTAATTAGAATCAAACAAGTAATACTATGACAATGATAAAATAGTTAAATAGTTTTAGTGAGCTGACTTTTTTAGGGATGATTTCTGAAGGGAATTGATATTAGCACTTCAAAATAGTGATCTTGCACTCCTTTATGTTTTATTTTTTAACTAAAAAAGAGGAGTGCATAATATCCAACCAAAAAAAAAAGGAACTGCTCATAACATCTCCCTTTCTAAATGGAAAATACAAAAATAGATATTTCAGATTACTGAACTGAACTACATATTACTTTTTTTTTTCTTTTTCCCAAAGGTTTTAGTGGAGTAGAAAGAAAATTCAAGGCTCTAATTCTTTTTTCCTATATTTTTGTGGGAAGGCCCTCAATGGGGCCTGCTTTGCGCTTACATTTTGACAATATATTGGCCTTTCAAGTAACGTAGACATGAAATATTTCTAGTTTCATTGTTAATGACTAGTGACATTTAGGTCTTCCCCTAGTTGGAAAATATCTTAAAGTTCAGCCTCCATTTGGTACACCATGCAGTTTTGAGGCTTTGAGGAGGACCACGGGATATGGGGTGGCACAACTATTTCAAACACTCCAAAACAAAAGAAGCCCAAATCGAGAATCAAAGTTGCTTGAAACGAGTCATTCTATAGTGAGGGCATTATATAAGGACCTTAAATGAAGTTTTATCTCTTAATCGTTAGATCAAACTAACCAATTTGAACTAACGACTAAGAGATATGCCTTCATCTAAGGACCTTAAATAAGGCACTCGTTATAGAATTCTACTACTTGAAACCCATCATCATAAGTTAGTTTGGGCTCATCTGCCCATTCATATTTACAAGGCTTTTTCTCTACTGTGCTGGAAAGGCCGTTGCAATTTGTACTCAAAGGAATAGTAAATTTAGAAATTTAGTGAAATACCCATTCCTAGACATAAAACTATAAATATACCATATACCATTCATTATATATAAACACACCCAAAATAAACCCAAAAATCAACAATTGTATATTTTTTAATTTAATTAATAAGATCAAATACCTTTATTACACTTTTTAGCATTAAATTAGTTTTGGATCTCGTTTAGAATCTATAGAATGCAGAAAACATTAAAATTCAACAAAACCACTCCCTGAGGTCTCAAGCCTCAAGCCCCTCTCCTCCTTCAAACCCACATCTCTCCTATGTTCTCTCCCTTCTTCCCTCTCTCTGCCTTCAAAGTAAACCAAACAGTCTCAAAGCCATGGACCAACACAAGACCGACGACAATCTCCGTTACGTCGGTGGCCTCACACGTGTTCTCGCCGCCGATGACTCCATTTCTTTTGCAAGTTTGTTCCATCTGCTTCAATTCGTTATTTTCCTTTTGATTTTTGCTTAATTTACTTGAATTTTGACTCGATTTCAGTTTCTTCGTTGAATTTGG